GGGACCTGGGCTCCTGTGCGCATCCCAGGCCCTGCCCTGAGGCGGCCAGGCCAAGGCTTGGGCCCCCCTGGGCCACACCACCTGCCCTGCTCTGCCCTCCAACCAGAAACCATGGCCCCCCAGCTGTACCCCTAGGGTCCCTGAGCCACCCTGCTCCTGAGATAACCCCCGTGTGTGGAGTCTCAGCTTGTAATGGGGTGAATGGTGCTCCCCAAAGAGAGGTCCACATCCTAACTCCGGTGTCTGTGAATGAGACCTTACTTGGGAACAGTCTTTGCAGAAGAAATCAAGATAAGGTTATGCTGGGTTAGGGCGGGTCTTAAACAGAATGACCGGTGTCCTTACAAGAAGAGGGGAGGCACACAGAGGAGGAGGCAGAGTAGGGATGAGGCAGAGGCGGGAGGGATGTGGCCACTGCCCAGGAGTGCCTGGGGCCCCCAGGCTGGAAGAAGTGTGAGGGACTCTCCCCTAGAGCCTTGGGAGGCAGCACGGCCCTGCTGACAGCTTGATTTTGGACTTCAGGCCCCCAGAACTGGGAGAGAATCAATTTGTGTTGTTGGCAGCCCTCCAGTCTGTGGTCATTTATGCCGGCGGCCCCAGGACACTCACTGTTATGTGTCCCCAAGAGCCGCCCCCCCTGCGCCCTTGGCCAGGCCGGTCTTCCACTAGCCATCATGGGATGTTTTCACGACAGGAAACCTCCTGACTCGGGAGAAAGGCTCGCCCTGCACACAGGGGCCCTCTCTGCCCAGGAGCGGCCCAGCCTCACACACTCGTCGGCCCCCGGGGGAACACAGGCAGGTCGTGTACCTCTGGGCCACCGGTGAGTGCAGGCAGCTCAAAGGGGCTCTCCTGCGCCCGGAGGCCTTGTTTATCTTCCCTTCATTTCTCTCGCCCCCTCTTTCCTTTTGCTCCTGCTAACTGAAAATCAGCACTTGCCATCTGCCTCTGCTTGGATTAAATCACGAGCCGCTGCAGCCGCTGACCCCCAGTGCTCCCGGGGAGGAGCGCAGGCTGGGGGTCAGGAATGAGGCGCCCTGCGCTCTGGGACAACGGGCTGAACAGGCCTTCAGATACTTAGGCATTTTCGGGAGATTTTATGACCCCAATTCTTGCATCTCCTCATATCTAGAAAAGCACTAAAACTTACATCAACGGTGACATCTGCTCCTTGTGACCAGCAGCAGCCTTCTGCCTACGTGTGTGCACGGCTGCACTTGCCCCCTTCGCTGAAATCACATGTAATGCTGAGTGCTCCCCCTGCCTCTCAGGAACAGCTCCTCAGGGCTCTCTGGGAGGCTGTCTCCGGGGCTACAGTCCTCATCTTGCCCCTAAACACAGCTTAGCCCACAGCTCTCACGTTGTGTGATTATATTTCAGTCAGCACTCCCGTCCAGCCTTTAAAGGAGGCTCTCAATATTGGCCCGCCGGGGACATTGGTGATGTCTGGGGACATCTTTGGCTGCATTTTAGGGATGCGGTTAACATCAAAGTCGGCAGTGCTGAAGTTCAGAGACTCCGCTGTAGAGCAACAAATCTTCACCTTTTAGGGGTCGCTGAGCGTTTGCCTGTTTGACGAGATTCCATGGATTTCTCTCTCCAGGTAAAAGCACAGAAGCCCCAAATTGTGCTTCAAAGTGCGTAAGGTTGCACGACTGGGCTCTCTCAGGTGATCTTGTTCCCCAGACTGCAAACCCTTTCATCCCTTGTAACCTGAGCACCTCTCCCCTCCCCTCCCCGGGAGTGAGTCATTGGCCAAGCGTCTCTCCCCCACCAAAGAAACAGGCAGCGGTCCTCCTGCTAATCTCGCTGGCGGGGGCCCGCACACACCCGCCGGCCTGGCCCCACACCCCAGCCGGCCTCTGAAGAGACTCGGGCCTCCGGGGAGCGGGTGGAAGCGCCCGGCTGCCGTGGACGGAGCTCTCCCAGCAGCCCTGGACTGGGTCATCTCGAGGGGCGTTCAGGAACCCGGGGCCCAGGGTGCGCGGTGGTGCTCTGAGGCTCCAGCAGGAGGTCAGCTGCTTGAGCTGTCTAGTCTATGCCAGAGCGACATCTCCGTTAAAAAACGGCCCAGTCAGCTGCTGGGAAGGCTTTTAAGCTGGAGAGCCAAACAGTCGACGAAATTTTGGGTCACTGTGATCTAGTGACTTACAATAAGAAATATATACACATTTATTTTCTATTGAAGTTTGTGTTTTTCCCGGTGGAGGTGCCGGGATTAAGCCCAGGACCTCGTGCATGCTGAGCATGCAGAGAAATGTATTTCTGGTCTCTGTCTTCTAGTCCTGGCACACAGCTCCTAAAACTCTAGGAACTTCCTAAGTGAGGATGGCGATAAAGGTGTCTCTTGTTGTGTGAGTGAGGTGACCTTTTGGAAAGTACCTCCTTTCCAAAGGAACTGGGGCTGGTTTGCCAGGGGAACCAACCACATGACTAGAGGGTGGACCTTCCCGTCCCACCTGGGGTGTCTGGGTTGGGGAGAAGGGCTGCAGGTTGAACCAATCACCGATGGCCGATGATTTAATAAGATGTGCCCGCGTAATGAATCCTCCATAAAGACCCGAAAGAACAGGGTCTGGAGAGCTTATGGGTCGGCGAACACGGCAGACTTGGGGGGACTGGCGCTCAGAGGGGCCTGGGAGCGCCGCACCTCCCCCCACACCTGGCCCCCCGCATCTTTTCCATCTGAGTGTTCCTGAGTTACGTCCTTTCGTAACAAACTGGTGACCCCGTAAGGACCATGTTTCTCTGAGTTCTGTGAGCCGCTCTAGCAAATTAATCGAACCCCAAACGGTTGAAACCTCTGAACTGTAGCCAGCAGGTCAGAAGCACACTGGGGCTCACAAATGCTGGCTGAAGGGGCTGGGGCGCCTGTCGGCCTGAGCCCTACCCTGTGCCGTCCGGTCCACATACTTAGCGGCCAAAGTGAGTGAAGCTGAAGAGCACCCAGCTGGTGTCCGAGGACGGCTGGGGGGTGGGGGGGACCACCCACACACGTTGGAACTGGGTGCAGAATCCTCGTTGCTTATCTGGACAACTCGACCTTCTCTGGTGACAGTGACCAATGTCTCTATGTTTACTTTTTATTTCAAAGCCATGATAGAGAAAACGAAGGTTTTAAAAGGACACTACGTACGTGGCATGTGACTGGACTTGGAAAGGCCCTTCTCTCTCCTCTGTGAGCTCTGCTTTTCCATTTCTACTTGAACAATAATACGTGATTGAATATTAACACCAGCCAGTAAGAAGTTCCCGAGCGTCAGACTCGGGGTGAAGCGCTTCACAATAACCCAGTGATGTAAATACTGCCGTTATCTCGTTTGACACAAGGGGAAACTGAGGCCTAAGCAGCCCAGGAAGGCTTGCAAAGGCCCGGTGGAGGGCCTGGGGTCTGGCCGGGGTCAGTGTGAATTTCCAGACCTCGGGGAGGCGGTGGTCCTTGCAAACGTGAGCTTTGAAGGTTGCACACAGGGAAGAGTAGCAGGGACAGAGGGTAAATCCCTCGCTGGACAGACAAGGCACACGGAGCGCAGAGCCCAGAGCTCGCTGGGGAGGCCTCTGCCTCCCAGCACCCCTAGGCTCGCCTGTCTCTGACGGATGACTTGCGTGGCAGCCATATTTTTCAGACAAACAGCTGTGGGGCTGGCCTGGCGGGACTGCGAAAAGTCAGCAAGAATTGACTGCTCTCTTTCGAGTGGAATCGGCTCAGGTCTAAGACAAAGAGAGACAGAAAACTGCGAAGGACCAGCACACCCCTGCCTGCAGCCGCCGCCCTCTGTGTCAGGCATATGGGCTCCCTGCACCCTTGTCAGGAACCATCTTGGCTTCCTGACAGTCACAACCTTTAAGGCCCCTCGTGCCCTGGCCGCTCCAGCGGGAACCAACCCTACAGGAGAACTCACCAACGCCCGCCAGGCCGCCGCAGCCCCGCAGGTGCACACCGCCCAGAGGGATGGTCCCTGCCGAGCACAGGGCCCCTCGACCCCCAGGTCAAGGCAGAAAGAGGCCTGCTGATTTTCAAGGGAAGTCACATCAACCTGTGACACAGCGTTCACGCGGGATCCCTAACTGACTCACTTTCTCATCCAAGTCCCCCAAACCCGCCTCATCTCTGGACCCGAAGCGCTTGTTACTTAAGGACACAGCACTTCTCACTGAGGAAACAGCAGGCGGACGCTAACATCTGTTGTGAACGTGACTGTGGACTCACGGGGCCCTGCGCTGACATGCTGACTGCTGTTTCTGCTCCTGCTGCGCTGCAAAGCCTGCTGCTGACTCTTGGTTAATACGCACGGTGACGGTTCCACAGGCTGGGGGCCTGACCCTGACTCCCCTGGTTCATGGAAGGAAGGCCCCCAACGCCACGCGCACAGACAGGTCAAGGAGTCGGCGAGGGAGCCTCAGCAAACCCACTGAGAAGCTGAGGGCTTGAGCCGCGATCCCCAGGGCCACCAAGGGCCGCCAAGGTCGCTTCTCCGAACACGGCCGCGCCTTCTGCCCCCAGGCCAGCCACAGCCAGGCCAGCCCACCTTCTGATCTCCCCAGAAAACCTTCGCTTAGAAAGGTTCCCAGGCTTTGCCAAAAAGACGAGCTCCGTCTAGAAACAGCATTGCGATCACGGCATCTCAGCGTGCCAGGACCCCCAGGGATCAGCCAGACCACCTCTTCATTTGACAGACTGAGAAACTGAGGCCCCGAGAAGCCAAGGTCAACCGGCAGGGAGACTCCCAGGAGAGCTGGGTCCTCCGTCCATCAAACGGGCACATCTTCCCAGGGAGGGGGCACTGACCAGAGAGGGAAGTGCCTTGACCTTCCTGAGACGGCCAGCCCCGCCCCTAGGGCAGAAGTGGGGGTGGGGCCTAGGATCAGGGTCCCCACCCTTAACCAGAAGAGCGTTAGCTTTTTTCTAAGAACAGGTGAACACTGAGCAACGTGCCACATCACCTCCTGAAAACGGCTCATCGCGCGTGCGCGCCCGGGAGAAGGCGGTGGGCACTTACGTCCTCGTCCCGCTCCAGCTCCAGCCCGGCCTCCACCAGGTTCCCCTCGTACTCCTCCCTGCGGAACCGCTTGTCGTCCTCGTGGTAGTCCAGCGGGGGCTCGGGCTCCGCCGCTCCCACCGGGCCCGCCTTCCCGGGGGGGGCTGGTCCTGCCTCGCCGCCGCGGGCTGCCGGGCCGGGCATCTCCGTGCTGGACCCGTCCCTGGCCGACGGTTCCTGCTGCCCGACGCCCCTCTTGTGATGGTACACCCAGGATGTAGTCCACCTTGCGCCGGCCGTCCCGGAAGTACAGGCCGTACTTGCACTCGGCGTCGGGGTCCACGGACAGCGAGTTCAGCAGCTGCGGGGGGAGAGGATGAAACCCACTCGCTGTCAAGCGGCCAGTGATGGGCGCGCTCGAACCCAACTGCGCCACCCACTCGCTCCCCAACTCCTTCCGGTAACGCTCGGCCAGGCCGGCCGGGGCAGGCGCTGCCCGGAGGGCCGACAGCACTGCGGAAGGCCCTGCCTTTGTGCAGCTGACATTCAGAAGGAGGCGTTGCTGCTGACCGATGCTGGGGATGCCAAGCGGGCCGCAGCCTGCGGAGCGAGGGCAGGCTGGCTGGGGGGGAGCAGGCTGCTGCAACCGGGTCAACTCTGCGAGGCCAGGCCCCAGGGGATGCTCTCACTCGGGCCCCCAGGGCCCCAGGCAGAGCAGCGCTGAGCTCCGGTTCTGCGCCCACACATCTCAACATCTGACGGCCGGTGAACCTGGCCCGAAATGGCCCACGCCTGGCCGGGTTCCTGGTGCCGCCTCTGCCACTAACTCGCTGTGTGGCTGGGGCTGGGCGACCAGCGTGTGTGAGTCTGAGTTCTCCCTGGAGCAGATCCTAGTTCAGCAGTTTGCATGGGAGGTGGCCTCAGGGGCCAGAGTGAGCTGGGGGACGGAGGGTGGCGGCTGATAGAAGGGGTGACAGTGCCGGCCCCCGCACACACAGCCCTGCCTTGGTTTCCTTATCTGCTTGCATCTCCAGGGAGGTAGGAGTCGGGGGCAGCAGGTTACAAGTTAGGGCCTGCACACAGGGGCCTCGATGCATGGCTTCTGCTAAAGCCACACTCAGTTTCTAGAACTCTCATGGGGTGTGGCTGGTAGTTGAAGGCAGCTAGGCTCACCAGCCAGCTCGCTGCTGGAAATAAGAAAAAAGAAATAAAACCACGCTGGAAGTAGTCTCACAAGCAAGTCCACGCCGCTCAGGGTCCTCAGAGCTGCCCGGGGGCCGAGGGCGTAGGGCCACACCTGTGTGGGCAGGTGGGCGGCACCGGGAGGGCTGGGGGCTCCGACGGGAGGAGGAGGCCCAGCCCTGCCCAGCCTGGGACAGTGCCAGGGACAATGGCAGCATCTTTGGCGGTCATGTTACAATGTGGCAGGAGAGGCGCGAAAGAGTTGCTCTTCTCATCTTGTCGGGGGGAGACTGAGGCCCAGTGAGGGGAGGGGGCCCCGAGGTTACAGAGCAGGTGGGCTGAGCCCAGCCTGGAATTCTGTCTGCACACCCAGGGTGCACCGCCCGAAGCCTGACAGTAACAGGGACGTAGGGCGACACTCCTTCTCGGCACGGGCACATCCTCTGAGGCCCCACACGAGGGCCACTATAAATAGGGCTACTTGACCTGGAGGAAGTTGAGGCTCACGTGGGCGAAGCGGTCAACCCATGCTGCCCAGGTGCCCCAGTGGTCTGCTCCGTCCCTGGTGCCATAAGGACACCGTTAGGGAGAGAGTGGCCATCCAGCTGAGCCTCAGTTCTGCCCCCACCGCTCCCAGAACCACAGGTAAGGTCAGTGGGCTTTAGGCAAGTCTGGGTTCAGTCCCTCTTCAGCTATGAGTCCTGGGGAGATACTCTATCTGCTCTGGGCCTCAGTTTCTGCCTCTGTAAAATGGGTGGATAATAGAAGCTGACCCTACTGGCAGCCAGAGGAGGAACTGAGTTAAAGAACGCTGAGGCTGGGTGGATGCTCCCTCTAACTCCAGGATGGGTGCCCGGGGGCCATCCTATCTCCTTGCCCTCTACCCTGGTGCCAAAGGCAGGTGCTCATTCTCCTGAATATCTCAGGAAGGTCAGGGAAATGCAGAGTCACGGTCAGCTGGTGGCTAGAGGTGGTGCCTCCCCTCTCAGGGGAGTGGGCAGAAGAGCCAGCCTCAAAGCTGCCTGGGAAGGTGGAGGCTCCGGCCAGCGCTCGGGGATGAAGCTGCTGCTGGGTGGGGTAAGAGGGCGGGGGACGGTCAGAGCCAGGCGGACAAGCGGTCTCCGGGCGGGCAGGGAGCCAGGGCACAGCGCCTGCGGCCAGCATCCCGGGCACTCCAGACTCAGCGTCTCCACAAGGGGCTCATCCCTGCTTTCCAAACGGGGAACTCAGGTCTTCCGAGCGGAGTCAGGGGCCGTGTACAGCTCCGGAGGGCTGGACTGCTCAGCCTTGTCTCCTGCCTGGACACCTTCCCCAGCTTCCTCACCCCCTCCTCCACGTCTCCCTCTTCCCTCCCCCAGCCTAACTGGCACCAGGACGTCTCAGCCCCTTCTCCCTGCCTTTCTACGTGCTGTGCTCCCTACCTGCCGCCCTTCCTTCCCTGCCCTTTGTAATTCTCCCTAGCTTCCCCCGCACTGGACAAATTCCCCTGTCCTCCACGATCTGAGGTCCCTGGCCTCTCCAGCCAGTGCGGAGCCTGTGTGCTGGGACTGCCCCAGAGCTGCCCATGCACAAGCTTTTAACTCATGGGGCCCCTCAGCTGGCGGCAGGACCCTGAGGCCAGGCCTGGGACTGTCCCTAACACACTCCCCTCTAGAAGCTGTTACACACGCAGCAGGCTCAACACCTGGCGTGGGCTTGGGCCATGTCCCCGGCTGGCTGGAACACTGAGCAAAGGGGACCAGAATGCCCCCAGAGAACAGGAAGGAAGCTCAGAGTAACCCCATCAAGTCAGGGCGCAGGGAAATTAGCACAGGGAGAAAATTCCCCACCAACAGGAGACAGGAAAAGGTTACAAAGTTCAAAACCGAACAACAGCTATCTGTCTGCGGGGGCCCAGTGGAGGACCTTCAGGGCCTGATAGTCTGGGAGTGTAGAAACATCCCCTGAACATCTCCCACCATCTGGGGGAGCGACAGCACAGAGCCTGACGAGTGCATGTCCTCTGCTTTCCTCTGAAGACCAGCTCAGTGGGGAAGGGTTGTTGGAAGAATTAAGCGTGTTAACACACGTAAAGGGCTTACGACAGGACCTGGCCGATGCTGAATCCCCAACAGAAGTTTGCTCTAATTGGAAACCGAGACACAGCACAAATAAAGAACTAGGGGAGAACAGGGGAAAATAATCCCATGGTCAAAGTGGACCACAAATTAAAGATGGCGCCAGTGCCAAATCTAGATTTTGAAGTTACAAAAGGGGGCTGGTGGGGCTGGTGGCACTGCCAGCAGAAGGCAGCACCGAGCACTGGTGTGAGAGTCCCAGATCCTCCCCCAAGGCCTGGTCCGGCACTGATTTGTTGTGTGATCCTGGGCAGGCTGCTTTGTCTGCTACATCTTGGTTTTATACATTGGGGGTGATCCTACCTGAATAAGTATAGGGGGTTAGCAAGCTTTCAACAGAAAGTGTGGGCTGTCTTCCTAGTGCGCTCTCCAGGGTTGGGAAGACTCAGGGTCTGGAGAACAATTCTGAGCGGGGCTGAGAGGGAGCTGGCAAGGCAGATACATGGCAGGGACCACAGAGGCTGCCGTGGTGGCCATGTGACTCTCCAGGGCCCTTCCATGGAGAAGTAGGGTGGGTGCTTTTCTTGCACAGGACAGGACCAAAAGGCAAAGATTTACCTTGCTGTAGGAGAGATGTGGGTTAGACTGTGTGCATAACTTCCTAAGGCTGGGGAAAGCTTCAAAATGTCCTTTCTCTATCCTTAAGAAAGGGACAGGTGACCCCTTGGTGCACCTTTGCTCAGGACGAGCGATTTCTCGTTTATCTTTTTAACGGTCGTCACCGGATGCACGGTGCTGGAATGAATGCATCCGTGCGTGAGTGAGTGACGGAGGTGTGGGTTTTGCACGTGGTGACCAGTAGGGACCACCAGATCAAGGATACCGAAGCTCAGAGCCACCCAGGCCAGAACTTAAACACTACACGCTCTAGCTCCAAGCCTCAGTTTTTCTATCTGTGAGATGGGGACAAAAACATCTCTTCAACTTAGGTAACAGGATTCGTGTGAGGACAAAGTGTGATGGAGGAATTGAATGTATTTTGAAGATTAACCTCAAGGTGCCCCAAGGAAGGTGGAACATGGCTCCCTGAGGTTATGTGGGAAGATGTCAGGGGACAGAGGTCCCCTTCACAGCAGGTGTGCCCTGACTCAAGAACCACGGACAGCGAGAGGGCAGTCTACACTGGTGCAGCCCTGCCTCTCCAAACTCCCTCCCGACTCTGAGAAAAGGGCAGATGAGAACGGAGGGGCCCCTGCGTCCACACCTTAGTCACTGGACTGGGACCTGGTACACTCTTTAATGTGGCTTCTGACCTGGAGTTGGAGCCCCAGAAGCTGAGTTCACACATTTGTGTGAAAGAGCCAAAGTCAGGGCAAATCTCAATCATTCTAAGGGAATCTCCCACATTCACTTTTTCCAAAAATGGGGAAAATGAAATCCGGGACCTGGAAAATTTCTTTTCATTTTGAAATTCTTTGAATTTCAGCTCAGAAGGGAACATCACCCTTCACCTTCACTTCCATTCCAAAAATTTTTAAAAATTAAATCACTAGGACTATGTATCAGTTTATGACTATTGGGCAAATTCCATAATCTATAAACAGACCGTCTCCAATAGCAGATAAGGAGGACGCGCTCTTATCTTGCAGGGAGGCAGATGCCAGCATCAGGTCCCTGTCTCTGGGGTGTCTGGGCGTGCTGGGACACAGGTCCCGGGCTACGAACAGCCGGCAGTTTAGAGGAAGAAAGCAGAAACACTCAAAGACTAACACAAAGAAAACTTAGTGAAACAAATTGCATCCAATCTGGCCCTAGCCTCTGAGTCATTTCTGATACCTCTTTTTACAGAAACAATGAAATGACTTCTACCCCTGAACTTGGGAATGACAGCGGGAAGAGAGGCACAGAGACAGAGATGGAAACCACAGCCTGCGTGGGAGGGGCCACGAAAATGACGCTGACACTGTACAGCATGGGATGCATGTCTGGGAACCGGACAGGAACGCTCTGAAACTCAGTCCACGCCCTCTGGCCTCTGCGTGCTCAGAGCCGCCTTTGCTGGGTGACTCAAGGTAATGACTGAGCAACAATTATTGGCTTGAGCTGGGCCGGGGATGCCCTTGGAGGCTCTCCCCGGCACACTGCCTGCCCTGCACAGAGGGCCCCAGCTCCCGGAGCTGCTGCTTCCAGCCCGTCTGTGGCCAGTTCTCTGGTGGGATGCGGCTCAGCTGTCTCTCCTTCCTGCAGCCAGTGTCTCTGACTCCCAGGCCTCCAAGCCCGTCACACCTGAAGCCTGTCCACAGCAAGAGTTATGTGCAGAATAAGGATCACTGGTCTCACCTGGGCTTTTCTGCTTGTTTCTGGATTGGGAAGAGCTTGAATGGAGGGCCAGGCTGCCTCTCTGCGGACTTCGTGGCCCCCACCAGAGTTTGGGGAGCTGATACTTGCTGGATCAGGAGAGGCAACAGATCCCTGAACTGAAATGCCTGAACCCAGGGGCCATTTGTTAAGGGCTCATTTTTTTTTTTTAGCTCACAACCAATTCATTATCAAGTTGAATATGGTCTACCGCCAGAACGTCTGTCTCTCTCCACTTCCTTGGCTGCCACCATTACCTTATGCCTCCTAACTGGTGTCTCCACAGTCCCACCTTGTGGCCTTCAAATACGCGATTTCTTTGTGGGAAAAGCCCCACCCCACCCCACTGAGGGTGTAACTCTCTCCTCCTCCTCCAGAAGGTCCATTCCTCCTGCAGGCTGTCTATAGCTGCCTGCTTGTGTCCTGGCCCCTCCTATCTCTCCTCCCAGCAGGTGGGTGACAAGGGACAGGTCATCTGCCCCTTCCTGGCCTCAGTTTCTTCACCTGTAGTGACAAGACTTACCCCGCACGGTTATGGAGAGAGAAATGAGTTAATACAGAGTGACTGGCCCATCGCTATGCAAGTGTCCCTTGTCGCTGTCCTTCCACCACTGCTCCCTAAGCCCCAGATGGGTGGGGTTCCCTGTCTCACCCCCTGTGTGTGCGCTGGGGGGGCAGGATCCGGCATGGCCCAGCACACAGCAGGGACGCAGTGTTTGCTGAAATCACGACCCAGAAGCTTTCAAGTGAACTCCACCAACACTGGTCCCTAATGCTCCCTGCACTTCTGTGCGAGCCCAGCTGCAGAGGAGCCCTCAAAGGCCCCCAGAGGCAGGCTGTGACCCGATGGGGCGCCAGGCCTGAGGGTCTCTGCCTTCCCTGGAACACACCTCCCTGGATGCACCGCCCTTCAGCCAAGGCTACAGAGGCAGGCGAGGGCAGTCCTGGGCTGGGGCAGAGCAGAACCCGGGCTGGGGGCTCAGCATCTCCTGGGGAGGGTGGTGCTTGGCCATGGCTGTTGGGGGAAGGGAGAGAAGGGGGCATGTGTCCTCTGGACCCCGGCTAAGCAGCCGGTTGTGGGGCTCCCGGGCCCTGCTTGTCTCAGCGCTCCCCTCTGCAGGCAAACTTTGTTCCAACGTGAAGCCAAAACCCTCATGGGCATATTTTGACTTCCAGGGATCCTTATGACCGCTGGGTTGGCCCCAGAGAGAGCGGTGAGGGTAGCAGGGACCCCAACCACGTGGCCAGGTAGGCGCTGGCCCGGCTACCACCCAGATCGGGCGCGAGCGCCGGCGGGGGATCGGACTAGCGCGGAAAGCCTCAACTGACCGCC